CCCGCCATTGCAATTTGTGAACTCCTGCCAGGCACATTCCTTGGTCCTTCTGCAGTCAACAAATGAAAGGTCTGACAAGTTGCATTGGCTTGGAGGCTCAAATGCATTATGCAGCTGGTGCAAACCGTTGGGCCTTGCCAGGCACTTCACGGGCCCTTCTATGATTGTAGAGCAAAGGTCTGAAGGGCTGACAATTTGCTTTGGGCTTGGAGGCTGGTGCAAACTGTCAGCTCCTGCCGCGCACTTTCCTGAGGTTTCTTGTGAGATTCATGGCGCAATCTGCTGGTCAATTTGCTCTAGTGTGAAAGCTCAGACACATAGACCAGTGCTTTGCGTGCCAGACACAGAGCCAGACAACATGTGCCTTCGGTGATGTCATCGTAGGCTCTCTCTCTGCAGGGGGGGAATCAAGCAACAAAGGAAGCCACCCCGCGCTCATCTGGTGCTGCACCCAATTTGAGCAGCCCCTTGGTTCAACCCATGCATGAGGTGGTTCATGGCGCAATGAGTGGCGCGGAGTCAAAAGCTGGGGTAAGGCCAGCATCTTGGTTGCAGCTTACGAGGCTCTTCAGGATCATGAGTAGAACGGCCAGGTTGACTGCAAGTCAGAATGTCAGCCTTGGAAGTTTGGAATGCTTATATTCATGGAGCAAGTTTTGACTGCCCCCCAGCGCTGATCCGTACAACACTGTTAGGATCAGGGCTGAGGCGGGAATGCTTATACTTTGAAGGGAAGTTTTGACTGATGGGCGCTGCCGCTCCAAGCGCCTACAGGAGCACTGTTGGGTTGGCCGGGGAGCTTTGGAAGTCAAAAGTTCTTCCTTGAAAGGTTGGAATGCTTACATGTTCAAGGGAAGTTTTGACTGGTGGGCGCTGCCGCTCCAAGCGCCTGCAGGATCACTGTTGGATTGGCCTGGGGACATCTGGAAGTCAAAAGTTCTGCCTTGAAAGATTGGAATGCTTATACTAGCAAGGGAAGTTTTGACTGGTCAACTCCACCGGCCCCAAAATCCTTCAGCTCGTGGGTTGAATGGTTTCAGCCCTGGTGTGATCTTGCTCGCTCTCTTCC